CTTCAGAGTGCAGGAGGACAGACAGGAGCAGCTTTCTGGGCACAGAGAGAAATTGTCCTATCTGTGCTCCTGCACTCTGAAGATGCCGGTCACAGGTGCTGGCGAAACGTTAGGAAACAAGACTTCAAGACCACGGCCACACAGCCCGGAAGACCCACACCAGCCATCGTTCCTATTATACTTGTTCTTTTTCTTACATGATTAAGACTCAAATCTTCCTGATCACCTATATTTAACTAATCACACTATTGAGTTAAATGGGATAATGCTGTTTGCCAGACAATCAACCAAGAGACTTTGATATCATACCATGACTCCTAGGCTAAGTACACTGAAGATAATAGTAATTGTAATATATTAAGTTTATATGCTGCCTGACTCCCAGTGACTCTGGGCGGTTCAAACTATTTTAGGAATACAACTATCCAGTCTACATTTTATCCAAAATGTTCCTGATGGGTGATGATCTTCTCTCTGGGGGCATATCATATTGTGCTCCATCACTACTTTGCCTTAGTGCTTAAAGGGAACATAGGTTTACAGTCTCTGGGAGAATATCTACAAGGTCCTAGGGCTGCAGATTGCTCACTCTGCTATACTGTAATGGGCAGAAACTATAACCTTGAGGAACAGGAGGAAGAGTCTCAACCAAGACAACAGTCAGAAGAAATCTGAGTCTGGAGCAGAAATATAATTTGAGAAAGTGTCTCAGACAGGACCCTCCCTGGTTCTCAAGAAGATAAAGGGAGGGAAGGGGGAAGCATATTCAGATTTGCAAGATTTTGTTACTGTAACCTTATAATAAAAGTAATATTGACTTGCATGACTTTGGTTTCTAGTCTGGTCTATCTTGAAGGGCTGACATCAATCTTTCAAGTCTGAATACACTTCCTCCCTTCCCAGTGCAGCTATCCCTTCTCACCACTATTTCCCTTCTTTTTTGTTGTTTCTCCTGAAAGGAGGTAGACGAGTGTGTGTGTGTGTGTGTGTGTGTGTGTGTAGTAATGAGAAAAAGAAAAAGGAAGACAGATAGACAGATGGAGATAATAGTTATGCAAATGGGGATCAATATTATAAATAGAATGTCTTATTTATAGAAAGTTAATTTTAATTAGCAATGTAAGGTATTTAAATTAATTATTTGTCTTGATTCTGCCCTATCTGGGGAGTATAGCTTATTTCAGGATATGTACATATATTTATATATTGCAGTGTTACATGCACATATTTATGGGTGGGCTGGGCTGGGGGGAACACAAAGATTGGTTGAAGCTGGAGTTCACAGCTTAAGGCTGACAAAGTAAAGAAGCTAGGCAGCAAACAGGACTTTTGTCTGTATTCCTGATGACATTTTTCCGTCTAATCTTTGTTTGCAGGAGCGTATATGACCTAAACTCAATGTTGTCTTCATTTTGGTTAAATACAGTACTTATAACTTATAACAAGTAAGCTTAGGACTCTTGGTGGAAACCACATTAAATCTCTGTGGCACCAGAGACTTATTCCAAGCATAAAGAATCAGTCCAGGAAATGCAACAGAACAACAGCCCATGTTATGCATTTAGCTGAACACATGGAAGGCCTGAAATGGAGCAGAGAAGCTGGCGTGCACACTAGCCCTACCCCTTTCTCTCCTTGACCTTCACACCTTCACTCAGAGGTCTGAAGGAGATACCTATTTGCATTCCTACCAACGCAAATACAGTTATTTATGTGATATGAGTTCCTGCTTCAGTAGGTCCTTGATTGTGCAAAGAACAAACACTTGTTGTTCTTTGCACAAGCTCAAATAGAGACCTCCAACTGAATGGATGGAGATAGAGTGAGCCAAGGGCATAACTGCAAAGGTAGCTTCTCTACCCAGTTCCTAACCTTCTACAAGTTCAGCTGAATGCCTGAATGGGGCTATAGTCATTCCATAAAACACTGGAGTTAAGATCCTTTGTGGGGAGAAGAATGACTAGCCAGACTTCAGCTGTAGCTTGCTTTTGTTCTGCTGCAAATTCCTTTGGGCTAGAAACCCCAAAACTAACCCAGAAAAACTTGTGGCAGAATTTTTTTACGTCCCTATTCCCAGCCAGTATGGTCTTTAGAGATGTTAGCTCTATTCTGAAATATTGACCTGGATCAAGAAAGGAATATACCAGTTATTATCAATAGCCCTTATTGCTTATGAAGCATCTAAATCAGTGTTTCTCACACTTGTCAACTTTAAGATGTGTGATCTTCAACTCCCAGAATTCCCTAGCCAGCCT